CACGAAATGGCGCCTTATAAAAAACGGAAAATCTCCATCTGGTCTAATGCTAAAAAACGAAGTTTAAGTATTGGAATACGATTGTATATGTCATGTGTTTATACAAAACAGAACAATTTTAAGTAGAGAGTTGCACTTGCCACCAGTAAAATCAAAAGACAATTAAAAACGAAAACTTTAATTATTTTTATGTATCTACTCAAATTATAGGTAGGTATAATTCGTTACCATTGTATAAGAACATTTTATTTTTGCTACAAGCCTATTATTTCGTCTCCATTTGCTTTTTTGCAGCGGTCTTAATTTTTTACATTTATACGACCGTCCTTGACTTGGCTGTCATTAAAGTTATTAAACAAATAGGTTGTTTAACTTTAAAGTTTTATTTATTAATAGCGGCGGGAATGTTTAGTTAAAGGATAATTGTCGGCGAGACGATAGCTGGCTATACTTTTCATTTGTGATAACTATTTACGGTTACTTTTTAAAATAAACATGCATTTCTTAATTATGTAAGCATATACCAATAATGTAATATAGTTTTTGTAACAATAAATTCATAAAGATATCGTTACCTTTAGGCTTAACTGCCTCCGTGGCCGAACGGTTACCATGCCGGACTGCCATGCAGAGGTCCCAGGTTCGATTCCCGGGCCGGGAGAAATGTTTGTATGGCTTACATTTATTTCTCTCGTGAGTTTGGGTGTAATTTGTGGTTGTCAATGTGTGTGTCCATGGCACCCGCGACACAGAGTTTCCCTAGTGCGGGGCTATGTTGAGTGTGTGCGTTATAGGCTTACGAAGTGATATTTCACATTCTGCCTGAACAAGAGTAGACGTAATGAGAGAACTAATATGATTATCAATTTTAAATAGCTATCTAACTTATCTTATTTAAACATTAACAAATAAATAAGAAGATTTTCTAATTAACAAACTGTAAAATATTAAGTCCTTTCTTTTGATACCCAACCATTTAAATCATTTGAATGTTTTTTAATTTCAAGTTACCGGCATCACAAAATCCGGTATTTACAAAAAACTCGATATCATTTTTCACAATCTACTAATTACAAGAATACGGCTTCGGTACGGAATAGGGACCGTTAATGTTGTGGCGATATTTTGAAAAATATTGCGAGAATGGATGAAGATAAGACGTCACATCCAATGCTTTGACGTACACTGACACGAATTTGTAATTACTGGGAAAAATGAAACTGAGTATTCCATTTTGGTCGCGTGCCAACTAGAGGTCGCTTGGGCATTGATTGTACCCTGGCGCTCCACGGGATAGCGCAGACGCTGGTAACATCGCATCTCCAGACAGCCCGTGGCCAGTATAACAGGCCGAACGACGAGATAATAAGTGCGAATACCTGTTAAATAGTTTTATCCCCATTTAGTAATGTTAGTACATTGAAACGCAAAGGCTTAACACTGTGTATACCCAACCATATAACTTTTAGTATCTTGGCTGCCTTGTTCAATCAAAAAAATTTTTTATAACTCCAACATGGGTGTTCTTGAACTTATATTTTATTAAAAACTCATCATCATTAAGGACTTGATTTGACAAATAAAAATAACCTTCGTTTATTATAAAAGTATCGTCGTTCTGAATTTAGACATACGTAGGCGTTGATCTGGTGATGTTTCATCCTAAAGCTTGATGTTTCATCCTAAATACATGGAAGATAATTTTGTACATAGGTAACAAAATTAACTTTATGTCAATTGTGTAACGTGCAAATTAGATACAATAAGCTGCAAGGATTCCCGAGACTCAGCAAGAATTCTCGGGAAGACGCGCGACCTGTTTTTTGGCTCATACCTAGTTTATGCGTTCCACAATAAACATAAAGTCCATTATGCTAAGGCAATGTGAATTAAGCCTAAGGATTCGTTACGCTTTTTGCAGTCGTATGCATGTCACTTAAGTTCACATTTGTATTAAATTAGTTTATTTAATAACAGTTATGGTTATGTGGCACCCAAATACCGTTACAGGATGTTTTTAGGCAAACGCAAAATTAATAATAATAAACAATAAAATCGTTTATTTATCTAAATAAATAAGCTACTTTACACAAGTTTAGTAACAGAAAATAGTGGTGGGAAATAAAAAGGTTTGTTTTCTCAGCACAATCCCGGAGTGTTTCTCAGCGCCCCGCTGATATTCTTCTGCACGCTTCAAAGCAAATACTCTCGTAACTCTCGTAAAAAAATTGTAGCATTGAGAGGACACGATTTGACAAGTTAAAAAAAAGCGAATGAAACCAGCATCTCATTAATAAATGGATAATTAAGTATTATGTATAAATAAAATAATCACATTATTCTGTTCAGTTCGCTTTCAGCGATAAGGCCGCCTCTGCCCACATTAATTCTAAATTGGCTGTATACTGTTTTTGTGTTTTTTGTGTGTGAGCAATAAAGTGTTGTCATCTATCTATTGTTCGTAATAAGTTTCATTCAATTTTTTTTTTTCAAATTGTGTGAGAATACACAATTTGAAAATTCATTCCACAAATTTGAGTTACGACATATACTATGCACAGTGCATTATGCACATACAACTACACTACAATTACTATGTTATATGTATAAAAAATTACTACCGTACCTCCTCATGTTACATATCCGCATTGAATTTAGTACATAAACTCTGGGTATGTACATTTAAAATTAATAACAATATTGTCCAAATTCATATAAGCAAATTGGGCATTAAGTTACTTAGTTAATATGGTATTAAACGAGCCTAAACAACATAAAATACCGAATAAAAACATGGCTCCGCTTTACTTTTACGACTTTCGTACAAAGATTACATTAGCATTACGATACATTTACAACCGATATGCGGAAATAAAAACAATATTATGGTAATGATCGACTTCAAAGAGCATTTAGAAGATAATATGCGCTTTAAGAGTATTGGTGTTTTATTCAAATAAAACTTTGGACGGAGGCTATAAAAGAAATCAAGTGATAAGCACCATTACCGTCCTTAGTTATATATAAAATATTTACGATTCTCCGAAAAGGTTGACACGATGTGTTTTACCGAGCAATGGTTATGTTCAAAAGACGATAATGCCGATTAGAACTGGACTTAAATACACACACGACATTCTTCAATACGATTGGGAGAAAACGACTAGTAAAATTTGTATAATAATAATAATAGTGCTATAGCTTAATAGACCAAATAGGATTACATTAATTTGCATTTACACTATTTAACTACGTTATATAACTCTTTTCTACCAATGATTTCTCGCGGTCCTTGCACTAAGTATATACGAGTACTTGTATCGCACAGTAAGTCTCAATATATTTGTTTTTTTTTTTATGATACCAACTGACAGGACAAACAAGTCGTGCGCCTGGTGTTAAGCGACACGCCTGTCCAATTGTCCATAGTAGTTGCAGTGTCACTCAGAGCTTTAGATTACAGAGATCTGAAGGTCACTGCCACTGCACCTGGCACCCTGAGACATTAGTTGACAAGTCTCGTGTGTCTGTAATTTCACCAGCACCTACCATTTGAAACTCTTTCCGGTAACCGAATTCAATAGAACTTGGCAAATAGATGTAATTCCATGAAATTTTGAGCTCGGCTTTTTTTTTATTAAAAGTTATATACTTAATTGTTCTCTTCTGTTTGTAGTAAAGCTTCTAGCGATATTGAGTGAAGCTCTAATTTCGATTCTTGTCGTCGAAATGTAGAAAGAAATGTATCTGTTGAGACATTAAATTTAATGAATTTTAAGTTCTTAAATAAGATTACGATATTAATTTTTAAAATATTAAATGTAATGAAAGATTATCACCATAATGTTCATTTAAATTTTGTGAAATTACTCCACTAGTTTACAATGGCATGTTTGAGTCCTGTCGGTTCGAAAGAATTTTGCTTTGTATTAATAATTATAACGAAGTACTGGATTACTAATAAGTAATTTCACAATAAATAAATAAATATCATGGTAGTAAAATATCATAATATTTATTTAATATCTCAACAAATATATTTCTTTCTACGTTTTGACGGCAAGAACCGTTATCAGCGCTTCACTCAAAATCATTAGAAGCTTTACTACAAACAGAAGAGACAAAAAGAATGGACATCGTTTCGTAACAATTTCACAAAAATGGCGTAATTTCGTGATTGTGGCGCATGCGTAATGTTTTATTCATAATAACATAATTGCAATAAGAAAGCAAAGAGTCTCAACACATGAACCTTCACTATTTCGTTTTAATAATATGATATTAAAATGCTTAAAATCTATAATATCTATAATATAATATTAATACAAAGATCGAACACTCAGAAAAAATTCCTTCGATCCGGCAGGATTCGAACCGACGTCTTCTAGCATACCGTGCCAGACGCTATGCCAACTAAGCCACGGAACCAACCAGCGGGCCTCACGAATGTTTCTATGTGCTTGCGTCGTGTCTTTGTATTTGGTTTTTCAACGGCTTTTTAATCGTAGCGCCATCTACAAGAAATCTATGACAGATTTATCACCCAATTAGTACCTTTACAGCTACCAACCTTGACGAGAGATGTCGTTATTCCTTGTATTTTAAATTTTAATTGAATTGATATTCAATTTTTTTTGTGAAATTACTCCACTGGTTCGTTCCGTGGCTTAGTTGGTATAGCGTCTGGCACGGTTATCAAACAAAATTAGCACTTAGATCCATATCCATAGCACTTAAATACATTTTTAAATAAAAAGTCTCTATCTCATAATTTGTTGACATCGTTAAAGAAGAAACTTAGGATGCCTTCAAATTAGACGCTTGTACAAGCGCTGTAGTACTGCAGTACAACTTTTCTTATTTTTTGTAACATCTACTCTGCAAAAGTAGCACTCCAACTGCGCTTCCAAATATTGTACGAAAATTAGTACTGGCGCGGCTATAGTGCCACAAACGCGTCTAGTTCGAAAGCGCTCTAAAAGTAATCACTCTTTTCGCAGGTGGTTGGCCAGGAGCTGTTGGCTGCGGGCCAGTACCAAGCAGCGGTTACGGTTCTAGAAGCTGCTCTTAGGATTGGTTCCTGCTCTCTTAAACTTCGGTAAGTAATATTAAGTAGAGCTATCAACAACACATCATGATTCACGCTTTGGACCTTCAATTATTGTTATCGAAAATACAATACAGTTGAAATAAAGGTCATTGTGCTGTTGACTATTGTAACGTAATTTAAAAACACTTTCTTTCCGTGGAACGATGAACAGGTTTTTTTGTCCGCTAGAATATCCACGACTTATGGCGATCAGGTGTACAAAACAAAGATAATTTATTTAATTAACTCAATAATAAGACATTCTACAACTTAAAGAAATTTCTTTCGAAATTGGCTATTTCTTTCTTAAAATAGACCCAACACGGTTAATTCTTTTTTTTTGGGTTTTTATGTTAGAAATAAAACTATATTTTCAGATTTAAATAGTGTGTATTTGTTTTTTCACACAAACCGACCATTTTTTAACTACTATTATGAAAATTATTAATTGAATTACCACATTTTAAACAAGAAGAATAAAAATAACAATCCAATTTATGCTACGTACGTTTTGCAAAACATTTTATTTTAATATCTAAATTAAAAAAATCATAATTTTCACTAAATTAAATTTATGGATTAAAAGGTTTGAAATATAAATTAAAACTAATAATCAGTACAGTCAGTATTAATAAATCACTCAATTGTGATATTTCATGGAATCTATAAAGGGCCCGAAACGTTGGTATGTTTGAAAAAAAAATTACGTGATTCAGGTCCGAAAAAATAGTTTTATTTCCAATGTGTAACAATCGCAAACCTAAAACTAAGAATTAGACGATCAAATTATTACCCTAGTGTTGACGTGAAAATACGAAAAACATGGCAGCTAAGTATGTTCTCACTGACTCGCTTATTCAATTGAAAATTATCTTCATTTAGAAAATTCCTTATATTAACGACCGCGAGTGTCAAAAGTCAAAATCGGCGTATAATTAACATAGCGCCATTATCGGGAACGGTCCCTTTGTAAATCATTTCGCACGTTTAATACCACTCAAACCTTCCTGCTAATAAGAAGAAGACAAATGATCGAAAACTTTCATTAACTTCACCACAGTGCAAATAACAGAGAGTAATGTAACTTAATTCGTACCCTTAGCCTTGGTATAATAAAGTCACATGTGAGACGTTAAAAACTTTTATCACATGAAACTTGTATATATATAGATTTGTATGACATAAATTATGTGTATGTGAAGTTTTATAACTCTCCTATTTTAACATAAAAAAGTTGTCGTTTTGCAGATGTGACCTTATTACACAAAGGGTGCCAATTATAGCTAAGCCTATAGAAATTCTTGTTATCGTATCGACAGCTCCCATATCTTTTCTATATACGTTTTGTTTATAGTGCCTCTCCCTATCAATCTCTTGTTTATGCGCGAAGGGAATAATATAAATATATAAACTGTTCGAGCCAGTCCGCACAGGAACCTACTCAGTCAGGTCCTGACACCTGGCCAGCCCGTTTGCACGGACTCATCCGTTTCTCATAAGACTAGTACCTTAGGGAAGCCGCCCCGGATACACGTACAGCATCCTCCCTATTTTCCAGATAGGCACCGAAGCTGTAGGCATGCTCACTTCCAGTTGCGCTCTGTGCAACTAACGGTTGCCACAGCTAAGCTGTAGACTCTAAGTCAACTACCAAATCGAAAAGAAGGTATTCCGGAGAGATTACGGGCTCGTCGGTAAGATCAGGGTACAGCGGGCGTCCAGGTCTAGCCCTTCGCCAGTGACCCGCCTTCACGGGCATCTCTGGCGGACCCGGGCTTGGTTATGGACTCGCTGTGGTTTGTGGTGAGCTGCAGAGATGGACTTGTTTGTCTGCCCAGGTGGTGTGTGACCAGGGCGTCTGTCTCGTGCGCAGCTAGCGCGTCTTAGTAGCGGTCTAGTCGAGGTCTTGAGGCGAGGAGGCGCGCGGGGCGCGTGAGTTGCCTTTTAAGTCGGAAGCTATGCCCGGACATTGTTGCAAGGCGCTGCGACCGGCATCTCCGGCACTAGCCCGGAGAGCTAGTAGAGGATGAGCTAGGTATCCTTCGGTCCCTCCAGCCGGTTAGGTATTGGGAACTGGAGAGACGCCGTTTTTCGGCGTCGGTAAGTGCTCGGCGTAAGGTACCTTTCGTGGACCCCAAGAAGAAATTAAAAGAACTTAAGTAAAAAAAGTTTATCAATTAACTACGAGCCAAGCAATCCCTAAGGTACATGTCAAATTACCTTTAGGCACACAGGCACTTAGCGAAATAAAAATCAAATGTCAATGATGCCTTATTGAATTATTATTTTGACTATTAAACATTTTGATAACATGGACTGGAATTAAAAAAAAACTGTATGATAATCGTATTTTAATGACCTATATTCCGTATGACCGTATTTAAATACTTATAAGTTGCTGCGCTCAACAATCAACTTGTTTCAAAGTGAATAATGTTGTGAAAAATAATAGTAATGAGTACACCAATGAATTCCTAAGTTAAACTACTGATTCTGAAATGAGTCTACCTGATTGGGACGTTATTATTTTTAATCGTCAGTATGTTACTCGTTGACAGTGGAGTAATTTATATTTAAGGGTACTTATCTTTGCGGAATTCGACGCTTTGATTTATAATAGTGCGTAGAAGGAATAAAGACCACATAAATCGTTGGAAGCGCTGTCTGCTTTTAATAAGTGCGTATGATGTAGAGCTCTTGCTTACAATAATTTTACTGTGCACATTTATACAGGGTGTATTCATATTTTGGGATATTAATGAAATGTCATAGACACAGTTATTCAATGTATCGAATTTACTTTCCCAATAAATATCTCTTAAATAAAATATTTTTTGAGAATAGTATTAATTTTCTTGTATTATATATATCTATTGATCTTCCACAAAATAAACTCTTACATATCTATAGCGTAAATACGTTAAAACGTACTTGCTATACGAGTGAAAGCAGGTCGAGACGCTAAAACAATTACAAGCGCAAAAACCACTCCGAGGATTTTATTTTATATATTTTAAAATTATCATAAAAGTAATAATAAACTTTCCATCACTATTTATTACGAAATTCAAAATTTATTTCTAACTTTAGTTGCTCAGTGTCTTTCTAAATATATGTACAGCTTTTAGTTTGCAATCTGTATATTTAATTTTATATGCATTGCGGTTTAAAGCTTAACTAGGCAGTTAAGAGCAAAATGTGTCGTTGCTATAAACGTAAAATACGTTGTATTTTAAAATTGAAAGTTGTGATACTGGAGTGCCAATAAATATTAATAAACTGCTGATATAATCTTCAGCCGATTATCTAGGATATTTTACTGGTTTTCTATCTCAATAAAACATAGGAAAATGTACTTTTTAATGACACTGAAAACCATCAAACGTGACATCTAAGAGTTATATTGAAATACGTTGCTTTTCGTGGAGTAAAATACCTGCCTTCTTCCTAGTTTCTTAATGATTTACTTAATTTAGAGATTAGAACTCATATTTTGACTTTAATTATGTTGTACAACCTTGAAGCTTTTTTGGAACTAGTGATATAACCTGTTTTTATACAGCGTTCTTCTTATTTAGAAGCTAGGCTTTTGACGGTGGAGTAATCGCCAACCATCTCTATTTAGCGCCTTAATTTTGTTTTCCTGATATAACAGGATACTTTTTCTCATAGCCGATTTAAGTAAACTTTATTATAATAGCCTTTAATATAATAAAGCCACGTATGATAATACGTCAAAATTACTTTTATCAAATGAAAATCATGAAAATGATATACGAACTATGTGAAATAAATTCTGTATGGTTAGGTGTGGTAAGAAGAACCACAAAGGAAGAGGAATTTGAAGCCTTACTATAATTGTAAGTCAATGCCTTACTCCGTAATTTAAAGATTTTCGCTAAGAGACTATAGTAGTCTCTTAGTCGATAAAACAGCAAACAAATTCGTTTTAACGATTTTAAAGAGATGACGCTACGTTGCTCCAAATCCAAAAGGCGAAAAAAACAAATTTGACTGTTGTGAAATCTTGATAAAACGGTATCCATTACCTTTGAAATACGGTAACCACAGCAACTTTTGAAGGAAGAGAAACGTTAGTACAATTTGACCGTTATCGGCAAGTACATCGTAAGTATTTAATTCAACGTAATGATTGTTAAAACATGTAAAGGCGATAAACATAATAATAATAATAACGCACACACTCAATATAGCCCCGCACTGGGGAAACCCTGTGTCGTGGGTGCCAATGACACACATATAGACAATCACAAATTACACCCAAACTCACGAGAGAAATAAATGTAGGCTATACAAATATTTCTCCCGGCCCGGGAATCGAACCTGGGACCTCTGCGTGGCAGTTCGGCTTGGTAACCATTGGGCCACGGAAGCAGTTAAAATAAACATAAATATAATAAATAAACGAAGACAAGACAAACAAAGTTTAGTATACTTCAAAATTCATATAACTATCTATTCAAAATTCATATGACTATCAGTTCTTCCTAGAGCTCTAAACATTTGTCTCAACATAAAGTATTTTCTTCTAACCCCACCTGACCTTATATGTGAAATTTTATAACGCTTCTATTGAAAAAGTTATGTTTGTCAGTCAACCGTGACCGTGGGACCTGTAAATCCGGAAAAATAGTTTCATTTACTATGTGTAATAATCGCGAAAACTTAAGAACTCGATATGTATTCATTTCTTTCATAGAATCCTTAAACCTCTTCCTGAAAAGTGATCATTTTGCAGATGTGCCTCTATTACACCAAGGATACGACTTCGCCTCGAAATAATGAAGTCCTTTTTTGTATTATTGAAGTTTTGTTGTGTGAAACAACTCCACTAGTTTTTTCAAATATATTTATTTATTTATTTAAACTTTATTGTACAATACACTGAAGTACAAATGGCGGACTTAATGCCATAAGGCATTCTCTACCAGTCAACCATTGGGCCAAACAGAAAAAAAACACAATAGGTTGGTGCTACACTTAAACAA